AAAAGAGGAGCCGGCGATCTACCCGCCGCCGAAGCTCGGCCAGTTCTACGACTTCTTCTCCTTCTCTCATCTCCCCTCGCCTTTACAATGTCCGTGGTTTTTTTTTAATTCTTTTTTTAATGAATTTTTTCTTGAATTTAGTGTTTGGATTGATTGTCCGTTTGCAGATATAAGGAGGTCGTCGAGGCCGTTCGCGGAGGACAAGAGGGAGGATGACTTCTTCCAAGTCGACGTGAGTTTTGTTCAATTTTATCGTAAAAGTTTGAACTTTGCTTTATTTGATAAGGAATTGTTTTAAAGATAATTCTTTTTAAAATGAATTAGAATGCGATTTGCTTTGTATAATTCAACGGTGAAGTGTCAGTGACATAAGTTAGTCTGCACGTATTTTCATTTTCCTTTGTGAAGTTAATGGTGATGTGCGGATTCACTATCAGGTGAGAATTTGCAACGGAAAGCTAGTCACAGTTGTGTCTTCTCGGGCTGGGTTTTACCCAGCTGGGAAACGTGCTCTCCTCAGCCATTCCTTAGTGGGTTTATTGCAACAGATCAGTCGAGCCTTCGATGGAGTAAGTAGCATTGTAGAGCCGATGCTTAGATTGTTAACTTCTTCAATTTGTCCCGTGTAATGGTGTTTTTGAGTGAATAATTTATCGCACTTGCAGGCTTACAAGTCTCTCATGAAGGCTTTCACTGAACACAATAAGGTGAGCTTGTGTGTTATAATTTTAAGCTGTTTATTCATGTAATATTGTGTGATTCACCTTACAGAGAACTAGTGACTTATAGGATCTTAGGAGGAGCCGTTCTTGATCAATTAGAAATATAAATGTGAAATATGAAGCTGTATTTTTAAATCGCTAATTTTTAGCTACAACAAAACTGAGGCACACAATTTCATTTGATTGATGAATCCATGTGAACCACCAAAATCTTTACTATTGCATGTTAATGTGGTCATCTGTATGATTGTGTATTACTTTATGCAGATTTCCCATTCCTTAAAATTTCCCGTTTGATGGAAATGTGAAATGTCAATGGAGCACTTATAAAAGCAACACAAATAAAGTACCAAATCGAACTAGTATAAGCATATTGAACCTTCAATTGAACTGTTAAGTTCTTC